GGGGGGGAGGGTTTGCCCTCGGCTTGAGGGTACCCCTGCCAGCTCCCAGTACCACGGGCTGTGGTACAGTAGCTGCACTCCCTGGTCTGGTAGCTCCTTCCCCTGACCTGTCCAAAACAGGTTGGCTGCTACCACAAGGAGACCTTCCTTCAAGGAAAGTCATCGTGGCCAGGTTCCCCTTTTTCCTGGCAGCCAGGCCTTCTTTGGAAGTTCCCTTCCCAGTTAGAATGACTGGCTAGAGTGTTTTCAGAAAGCAGGCCCCTAAGCATTTTGCTGAAAAATCTACATGTCAGAAAAAGTCAAGTCCAGGATCCACTGGCTAAGTCCTGTCTTTCTCAGACAACACCCGGCCTGGCTCAGGCTTCGAGGACTGCAGATGAAATCATATGCAAAGCCCACAGCAATAACCAGCACCCACTTCCTGCCTTTCAAAATCAGGGAAAGTGAGCTGTGACTTTAGTCCCCCAGTGCTTCCAAAAGGACCGCAAAGGGCCCCTCGTTAGACCCCTGCTTCTGCGCTGTGAAAGCTACACTCGAGCTACACCCGTGGATGGGAGATGTGACCACAGATGTTCCTGGCTGAGTAGGGAGCCCTGTGCCCCTGGAGCCAACCGTAGCAGCCTAGTCTGTGCTCCAGCTAGTGGGAGACACGGACTCTTCCTGGTGCCATATTGCCTCTTACCTCTTACCATCTCCTTCAACACCTCTTGTTGGTTTGCCTAATACTGGGTCTCTGCCCTTTCTCACTTGCCCTGTCTCTCCTACCTTTCCTCCCCTTTCAACACTCAGTTGCTGGTCCACTCTTCAGCCTACAGCCAGCCCTGGCCTCTCAGCACACCAGTCTTGTCCTCTTGAAGGGGTTGCCTCTCCTCTCCCCCCATCCCATGGCCACTCTGCCGGTGCTTTTAGCGCCCTCTCTGTTGTCACCTGCCCACCTTGTGGTCCTTTTGCCCATCCTCTTCCTGCTGGAACCTAAACTAACAATATAAGACCTAAAATCAAGAACTGCCCCAAAAGTATGGCCCAAGAAACGGGCCAGAAAGAAGCTGGCTGCCGAGTTCCGCCTTCCAGAGCTCCAGGGCGGGGCTGAGAAGGGTGGGGCAGCCGTCAGAGGCTGTGAAGACAGGCCCAGCACAGGCGTCTTCCTCCACACCACACTGGGTCAGCCTCCAGGTGCCTTATAGACGAGGGGTGGGAGCTGTTCAGTGTGAGATCCCGGCTCCCTCAGCAGTGATCCTCCCAGTGGCCATGATGAGCTGCCCAGGAGTGAGGCTGTACTGCGGAGTTCTCCGCCCTTGTTCTGTTCGCTCTTCACAGCCCCTCTTCCCACTCTTCCGTTCCTCTCTGCTCTGTTGGGGATACCCCCATCTGTCTGCCACACCCTCACTTGTCAGCTGTCTCACCTATACAGCTTTGGGGTCACTCCCTGGGACCAGCCCTCATCTTTGCTCTACCCTTACCCCTACACAGTATGCCTGTCACTGGAAGCCACATAGGAAAGAGGTCTGTGCAATGCTTTCCACACACATACTCCAAACACACACCTAATCAGATGCTTTCACACACTCATCAGCACTGGGCACAAGGCAGGCGTTGGGGACACGATATCCAAAGCAGGCAAGTACAAGGCTCCAGGAGCTGCAGGTGACTAGCCCCTCAGGATCCTGGCAGAGCCCTTAACTGGGGAGGGAAGGACGACTGAAGAGGGACCTTAGCACTAAACTGGGGAGCAGGTTGGAGAGGTGCAGAGGCTGCCCCTGAAAGAAAACCAAGGGCCAAGGACTGCTTTGGACTTGCGTTTGAGGGTAGATGGGAAACATGAGGAAGTTAGACACAGTAACTAAGAACCTGACTCCACTGAGGTATAAGCCCCTACCCCCTGCCAGATAGCCCCCCCTACAGTTGGCTGAACCCCCTGAGCCTTTCTCACACTTCCCCCACTTGAAATGCTATCGCCTTGCTCTGGCTCCAAGAGCTTGGCCCCTCTCTGTCTCTCTGGGAAGCCCTCTGTGGCCTTCAATGGGGAGCACCTCTCCTCCAGGGTCTGCGGACCCCACCAACTGCACCCTGTGTTACAGAATTCTTGAGGAGCAAACAGATGAAATAAATGTATTAAAAGAAGCATAATGTTTTCAACTAGAACACTCTAAGGGAGTTAAATAGGACATACTGTTACTAAATAGAGCCTGTGTTAATTAGGGAGATTGTTACCAAATAGAAGATGCATCAATTAATAGACCATATTGTTACTGAACAGAACAGAGAATCATTAACTGTACCAGACTGTTCCTGCATGGAGCTTCCTTTAGTTTTCCTGGGCCCAAGAAGGATGACTCAGGGTGAGTGGTGGTTCGGCGACAGGGAACTCCTACAGGTACGGGCTGCAGTAGTTCCACAAAGCAGGAAAGGTCTTTCCTGCACACATGGATGCACCCATGTGTGGGAATGTCAGCATCCTGTGCAGACCCTCCTTTTTTTCTTTTCGCTGTCAAGGAACTCATGCGTGCTCTCACACCAGGAAAAAGCCAGTATAGGGGAAATGGACCTTCAAGAGCATTTTCCTGCACAGGACAAAAGTACAGTTAGGCATGGTGGCACAGAATGGTAATTCCAGAGCTCTGGAGGCAGAGGCAGGAGGATCAGGAGTTCAAGGCCAGCCTGGGCTGTGTGGAAAAGTGAGGTGAAGTAAATTAGAGAGCAGTGCTGGAGATGATTTCAGTGTCATTCTGAGCCCTTCAGGTGTGGATGATGGTGGCCCTGTGCACCTAAGTCCTTTAGGAACCAGAATGTCTAGCCTATGCGCATACCTCCCTGGAGTTTTTTAAATATATGTTTATTAATTTTTGAAATTTTCATACATGCATACAGTGTATTTTGATCACATTCCCTAACTCCTCCCACATCTACCTTCACCTCTTCTAACTTCCTATCCTTCTTTTAAAGTAGTTATTTTTATTTAATGTGTATGAGTGTATTGCCTGAGTGCATCCACGTAAAATATGTGAAGAGCCAGAAAAGGGCATTGGATCCCCTGAAACTGGAGTGATGGATGGTTGTTAGCCACCATGTGGTTCTGGGAACCAAACCTGAGTCCTCTGCAAGAGCGGCCAGTG